TCTATGGCAATCTATGGCAATCTATGGCAATCTATGGTAATCTATGGTAGTCTATGGTAATCTATGGTAATCTATGGTAATCTATGGTAATCTATGGTAATCTATGGTAATCTACGGCAATCTATGGTAATCTATGGTAATCTATGGTAATCTATGGTAATCTATGGTAATCTATGGTAATCTATGGTAATCTATGGTAATCTATGGTAATCTATGGTAATCTATGGTAATCTATGGTAATCTATGGTAATCTATGGCAATCTATGGCAATCTATGGCAATCTATGGTAATCTATGGTAATCTATGGTAATCTATGGTAATCTATGGTAATCTATGGTAATCTATGGTAATCTATGGCAATCTATGGCAATCTATGGCAATCTATGGCAATCTATGGCAATCTATGGCAATCTATGGTAATCTATGGTAATCTATGGTAATCTATGGTAATCTATGGTAATCTATGGTAATCTATGGTAATCTATGGCAATCTATGGTAATCTATGGTAATCTATGGTAATCTATGGTAATCTATGGTAATCTATGGTAATCTATGGTAATCTATGGTAATCTATGGTAATCTATGGTAATCTATGGTAATCTATGGTAATCTATGGTAATCTATGGTAATCTATGGTAATCTGCTACGACCATTTTCGTCCCGCCATGCCGAGAGCGCTATCTGATTATTGGAGATGGTTCAGTGAAAACAACAAACACTTGGAAAAGTGTTGAAAACACACAACAAGATGAGGCAGAAGCATGGCTGCGATATGCGGCGATGTGAAAGACTGTTCCATACTGATTCAGAAGTCAAACCTGCGGAAGTGACTGTAAATGTTTGATTTCTGCAAACGGTGGATGCGTCCAATATCAGGGATTTTCGCAAAATGCTCCAAGATCTTCCAAAGTTCCATGAAAGTCCCATTTAAATCCTATGAAAGTCCCAATATCATGAGGGTCCATCCACGGCAGATCAAAGCCACCAGTTTTTCGGCGAGACCTTCCCCCAAACTCCAGCCTGGAGATTCCATCGACACCGACAACATATCATGGGATTTTTCTTGCACCGTGGAAAGAACTGCGAAGATATACATGGCTAGTCTTTGATACCCCGCAAAAAAATAGCTAAAAATAGATTGTCAGATATGTTCTGCAGGGTCAGGGTAGCGTATACCTCTTATATGTGTGAAAATTACTACCCAGGTTAATTACACAGGTTTACCCCGGCAACATGGTGTTTTTGATGCGTTTTTGATAAGGTCGCTCTCGCAACCGTGGGAGCTCCATCGATTTCTGGCTCAGGTCAATGCTTCTTCTGCTTTGAAGCTGAAACAACACAGCTGCAGAGGGGCGAATTGCAATCACTGGGGCAGCAAGGGATTTCCTGGTATTTCCTGGTGGCTGGTCCGCCTGCTGAGTGGAGAGGCTCACATGAAGAAAATTGGCACATCCCAGCACTTCTTCAGAGCAAAGTCCACTCTCACTGGAGACTTCCATCTGGAAATCAGGCAGAAACAAGGGCTAGGGTCCTTACAAAGCCTATCGTCAACCGCAGTTTCTGTGTTTTTCCGTTTCAATTTGAAGCTGTCTTGCCCTAGCCGGCTCCGGGGTCCTTTGCCCGACCGGGGACCTATCATGGCAATCATCGAGTTGAATTCGTCGTTGGAATGGACAACGGCTGTTTCGCCGTCATGATCAAATCCAGATTCACGTCCGTTTCTCAGAAGATTATATACTGGCAGTGATCATTCCACCGAAATCACTTGTGATTAGTGTCACTTCCTATTATATGGTTCTCCCATGGTTCCTATGAAAAAATATTGGGCCATGTTGGGCCATACAATTCCACCAATCTTCCAGTCGTGTCACTCCTCTGCAATGATCACTTCCAAAACATATCGGAGGGTTCACTCTACCTGAACATAGGGGTGCCGCAGCCGCAGTCTGTTGAGAGCTGGGATTCCTGTGGGTTTCATAATAAAATCGGATGGTTTATCAATGTTTATCATTTACCCCCCAAGAAAAGCAATGGCACTGTTGGTACCTCATGAAGAAACTGACGTTTCTTAGAATCGTTACGGAAATGTGTATCTGCTGGTCTGATAGTGGGGATTCCTGTTTAGTTTGCCCTTAGATAACAAATCCAGAAATTGAGGATGGCTTTGCCGCTGGAACCAGGATTTCAGGAATAGCTATCCACCTGACAAGCAACTGGATTTAATCATCTAAATGGCGATTAATCCTTTATAGAGATACCATATGATTATACATATGATATACGGTGGTTTCAACCCAACCCCTCTGATTTTTTTTAGTCAGTTGGGATGATTCTTCCAAATATATGGAAAGTCATAAAAAATGCTCCAGACCACCAACCAGTATATGATTATGGTGGCACAAGCCTTCCCATGCAACCGCCACTTCCCAACCATTCAGCGCCTGTGGTGGTCAACTGGATGCTAGCATCCGAACCTACATCGGCAACTGAAGCTTGGGATGGGGAAACCCTGCCGGCATCTGCCGACAATCCAATGGATATTTCAGTTGTTTTCTCTGGAGCTTTTTCGGATCCCCAAGTCTTTCAGGAAAAATGGGGAAAGCCACTGATTGTGGTTACATAAGTTACATAATGTTGCTATATAGTTACATAGCCTCCAATTTTTTGGGTTCAAAATTCGCTTCAGGTCATATCATGTCATATCTGGCGGATGTGGCCCTCGCATGTAGCATCATCCCCTTTTCGGTCTCTCCACGGTCGACCGGTTTCTGCGCGGCATGGCTGTCGGCCGCGCTGTGTTAGCTGGTGAGATGCGCGGAGTTCTCCACACACCTGCCGAAAATCACATCCAAATAGCTGGTTTTTGCTGGATGTTCATCCCCACATATATATATATATTATATATATATGGTGGTTTCCATAAATGGGGGTGGGGGTATCCCAATAGCTGGATGGTTTATTGTTTATTTCATGGAAGATCCATCTTTACAGATGGTTGATTTGGGCGTAGCCCTATTTTAGGAAACTTTCATATGGCATCATAGGTATTCACCATGTTCATTGAAAAGAAAAACGATGACATTTCATGAGATTGGTCTTTAAGGGAAGACTTCAACGGCCGAGGATGGCAATCATGGTATGGCCGGTATAGCCATGATGATCATCATTCATCAAGCAAATATAGGATTTTAGGGAAATTTAAGCCTCACAGTTTGTAGGACAGCAAAGCTGCCCTACAGTAGTTTTTCGTCGGGTGCTCTCGCCTTGCCACTACTTCATCCCATTCTTCTCCGCGATTTCTCTGGTGCGTTTCCGACGTCATCGGCACATAGAGGACTCCTGCCGATCATCATGACCCGCAGTACAGATATCCCGAGATATCTCACGGGTATACACATTGTGGCTTATCCTCAAGAAATCAGGTACATATACCCTCTGGTTATTTAACATAGCTCTGGAAAATGGCCCATTTACAAATGAATTTCCCATTCAAACCTCCATTCATAATAAATTTCCATAGCTATGTGACATAAACAGATGGTTTTTTTTCTTATGAAAATCCCCATCAACATGGCTATGTTCATGTATTTTTATGGCCATCCTTTGCCATCCCCCGAACTGATGATGATCCCCATCTGAGCAGCCGGCGCAAGTGTCGAGTGACCTCGACTGAACCATCCTGCAACAGATCGATGCTACACAACCTCGCAGCTGAACTCAACTGGCCAAAATGTGTTTTTTTTTACCAAGGAACATCTAGATTGCATAAAAAGAGCTATAAATGCTGGTATATATATATATATATAAATGGGCTAATTAATATATATATATATAAATGTAATCATGATGTTCATAATCTTAATCTATAACATCTAGATGGGCTAAATCATCCAATTACAAATGGTGGTTTTCCCATGGACATGTTTAGCCCATGGTCCAAGTGTCAAATCCGTTTTGAGCTCCTGGCTAATGTCCTAGACAGGGCTAAGATTCCATGAATGAACCATCTATAATGAACCATTCATCTATAATGTAGCCCATTAAAAAAAAAAAAACATAGATATAATTAATGTTTCTATTATTCAAAAAAAAATGTTTGTTCTACCAGTTATATCTATAATGAACCATTCATCTAGCCTTCACCTGTTGGGTGCATCAAAATCCCATCAAATCACCGAACTACCTAGAATCATCCAACGTCCACCGAAAATCCCATCAAAATCCCATCAAATCCCGTAAAATCATCCCAACATCCCAAAAAAAAACGATCAAAAACACCAAAAAAACTGACAAAATATCTCATCACATTACCCAACATCCACCAAAATTTCCAGGAAAATCTCCAGAAAATCCCTGAATCCATGGCTCCAAAGGCTCCCTGGCTGCGGATCGCTTCCGGTCCAAGCTGCCACTGCGGTGCATCCGTCGGCCCAAGCGGTGCCACCGCTCGGCCGCCGGGGATCAGCAGGGCCACGAGCCAATCCTGTCGTTTTGGGCCACAAGGATTTCACCGGGAAAAAAATGGGGATTTTCATCAAGTTCACCATCAGAAAATAGGGATTTCATCGGGAAGAAACAACGAGATCGGAATTGAAGCCACAACACTTGCAAGGGGGTCCCCAAAACAGGGATTGAACCATCAACAATCGAGAATTGAGAGTGGAAAATAATGGTTGGTTGCAACTGGTGATCATTGGTGAGGATATACTGCATTTGACAAGAGTGTAGAGAGGTTCCATAATATTGGATACACAATCCCCGAGCAATCTATTGGGAATATAAACAACGGCCGATTGACCTGTATAATTATACTTACAGTCCATATAGAATCATGTGTATACATATATATATATATGTGTTTACTGGAGGTATATCATAGTATATCGTAAAAGGCCATCATAACACATTATAATATTGATTACCATTGATATCAGTGGTATTAAGATGGGATCGTAAAAATGTATCTGCAATATTACAGGGGGAAAACCACTGACGATTGATTACTCCCATGTTTTGCCACTTTCGCCACTGTCACTACTATCTATAGCATGATGCTATTGCCATTAATATCATATTACCCCATTCCATCCGTTGGTTAATCATCAGTTCTCCTATTAGATATCCTATGAAACATCAAATATCAGTATGGATATTGACTAATAGGATAGCACTAAGATGTTATAAATGTCAAGATTTAATATAGATTCATATGTTACATATATATATATACATATCATAAATATGATTAATCATCCCATTTGATTAAATGCTACTATCCTACTATGTGGGGGTTTCCCCAAGTAGGAATCCCCCTGAATCATCCCAGTGATTAGACAATGATTTTCTATTGAAACCTATGGCTTTCAAAATCTCAATGGTCATACCATCCTTCATTTTCAGAAAATCCCCCATTTTTATATTGAAGCCTATCTGGTTGGTGGTATACCTACCCCTCTGAAAAATATGAAAGTCAGTTGGAATCATGACATTCCCAATATATGGAAAGTCATAAAAGTCATGTTCCAAACCACCAACCAGCTATAGCATTTCCACACCATGACTTAAGAAACCTCCCTTATGTGTCGGTACCCTCCTCCACACGTTCCAAGGCTGCACCACAGTGCACCAGGTGGAAGGCGTCGCCGCCATCGAAACCATCGAAACTGCGCCCGTCTTGGCATCGCATCTCTAGGATCTCCGGCACCTGAGATGATGAAATGTGGAAAACATGTCAAAAAAATGGGAGAAACCATAAGAAACCATAAGAAATCCACGTTGTATATAGTTTTATATCAAACATCTATATCAATACTCATAACCATAAAGAATGTTAAAAAATGATGATGAAGAATGAACACTGGATGTTAAGATACAAAATGACCGAGAATTCAGGGGTTTCGAGATGCTACTTGACTCGTATATGGCTGGTTGCTGAGAAAAAGAACAGAAAAAAAACAGAAACAACCGATTGCAATATGGCCTGTGTTCCACATGTTTCCTATTTTGTACTTCTAATTATTTATAATAATCCCCATCTGGTGCACTCCGGAGAGTCCTGTCCTGGGAAAATATCGCGATTAATTTTTGGGGTCCTGGCCTTTTTGAGATTAAAATCCTGGTGCTTGACCTTTCTTGCCGGAATTTATAGTCTCAGACGAATAAAACTTGCAGGCGCTAATTTCCTGATGCCTAAGGTTTCTTAAAGGCATTTCTCCCCTTCTAGTCTGGTCCAACTCCAAGTGCGCCAAGTCCGTCCCGTCGCCATGTTGTCCATGGAAATTCAGGTGAATCTCAACAGTGTAGGCAAAAATGACTCATTGACCTGCATAACTGTGTGAACATTGCAGTAGATTTGTACTTGAATGGTTTCTGACACATCCCCTTCGTCCAAGACATCTTTCTGTTGGCATGGCTGTGAAGCTGTGAACGCATAAAGCATGGACCTAAAGACAAATCTTGTCTAGGAAAACCCCTTCGCTCAGATGCCACTGGGAGCGAGAATTTACGAGAAATACCATACTAAAAATGACGAAAAGGTATGAAAAGAAGCTTTGCAATACTGTATGGTGCAAGGAAACAACCTTCAAAATTTACCGCGGGAACAGCACAAACAGGATTGCCAGCACATACCACAAAGGACTGACAAGGAAAAGATACTTGAACGCAGAATTAGATAAAATCAGGCGACATCCGCACATTAGCCGCCACCGTTCCAAGCAAAGCCTAACAAAAGCACCTGCCCCATTCAACAGAAATTCAAGCAACCCATCAGCCCGGAACAAACAAATCCCACTTTTTGATACTTTTTGTTGCCCCAGCATATTCAAAATCCCACTGTTACCCAGATTTGACAGAATTGAAAGCGGGTAATGTTCCTTGTTCCGTGGGGGTTCGCCACCGGGTGCTGCCAGCTGGCGACATAAAAGGATAAGAGGGAATATAGAAAGGCAGGAGGGAGGAGAGAGGAGAAAGGAAGGAGACAGGAACAAATGAAAGAGGGAGAGAGGGAGAAGAGAGGGTGCGAGGATGTGAACATATGAAGATGCTGAGGTGCGCAAGTGCGAATTATACGTGCCACATATCTGCTTTGAAGTTGCGTAATCTGAGGGTCTGATTAATAAAATACCCTCAATGATATATAATTTGTTCGGTCAGCCAATGTTTTAGTATTCGTTCTCAATTGCACAATACATGGTTGGACGGTACAATTATATAAGCGACCAGAACACCACAATGGATAGCGCTTATGGATCATGGGTGGCAGGTGTGGCTAAAAGACTGGCACCTCCGAAAGTGATAACCACATAGACGCACCAAAAATCCAGGATTTGTCATTCTATGTCATTCTGTGGACCTTTGCTGGGCCAGGTTTTGATCTGCATGTGTCTTTCTGCTATGTGGCCTGCAGCCCTGCTCTTCTTGTTGCTGCTGTTGTTGTTGTTGCTGCTGGTTGCTAGCTACATCCGCCAAACCTGTAACCATTCCATGCCGCAATCGCAGCACTTTACAGTAACATGCTGAGCAATTGAGTGGTTTTGAGTCTCAATCATCAAGAAAATTGCCGGTAGCTGCGGCATTTTCGCTCATCATGGCTAACCGTTTTGGTTCAAAAAGTTGCTACTCCGATCTGGATGCTCGCATGCCAACTCATCAAACTCACAGGTACTGAGATGTACTCAGACTGTTTGGCCAAGCAACGAAGCGAATTGCACAAACAACCGCTGGATCGGGCAGGAAAACCTCCTGCAAAACCATGCGCTTGCCGCTCTTACCTCGCCCGGGCTTCTGCTCCAGTGGCTCTTCCTGGGCGGTGTGCGGCAACCAAGGAGAACACTGCGCAGACCGAACAATCAGAACAGCCACCAGTGTCCTGAATGGGTCGAAGCCAAGTTTTCTCCGCCAGGAGCGTCTTTGCACCCTTCAGCGAGAGTTTTGGGAGAGCAGCACCAACCCCAGTGGCACGGGGAGTCGCCCCGAGGCAGCCCATGTGACAACTCATACCGGCATAGTCAATTGGAAGAATCATGTTTGCAACTGATCTGAATGTGTGGATCACCTCCTTAGGTTGAATTGTATGGGCCGCGGAATGCGTAAATTTGAATGTGCAACATGTCAAACGCCAAGGAAAGGCAATGAATGCCAAGTTTGCAGACTTCGGTCGAGGAATTTGGGAAAGAGGGTGCAGGCTTGGGTATTTGCAACGTAGCGGTCACGACATGTCACGGGAATATCGCACAAGCTTTTGGACAAGGCGATGTGCGGTGGCGGATGAGGATGCCAAAAGCATATTCTGCCATCCATGCCATAGTGTGCTCTAGGTTGTTCACTCAGTGGAATTATGTAGAATTTCATGACATGCGGCGCGGGCTTCTCAAGCAAGGCTTCCAAAGCAGAATTGCTTGTGTCGCGCAAACCTTGCAGAGTTGCAAAGCCAAAATCTCTAACAATGCAAACCGCAGAGTTTGATGTCATTCCATGCAGTACCCGCGAGTTTCGGGATAATTATGTTAAGCCCCAGGGTGTGGAAGACAAGTGGGAGAGAAATGTAAATCAGGGCCCCACCCAGCAGAAGGGCAAGCACAGAAGTTGAGCCTGCACAACTGAACCTGTTTGGGGAAAAGCCCCGGTGGTTTCCAACATGAGTAACCCCTACGTGCGAATACACGGTGCCCTGTTCAAATGAAATTGAAGCATTTCAAAGTCTGCTGCCTCAGGTGGTACAAGCCAATTCTGGTTGCCGGGCCTTGGACGACTGGAGAAAGGAACCAGTCACGATGTCGGACAACAATGTGGTCCTGACCAGTCACTGGGCCATCAGCTGTGTCGACTGCGGTCACTGGGTCATCCAAAAAGTATTGGGTTGCTCCAAGGACACACGAAAATAAGCAGCCTGCCTTCATCGAGGTTGAACGGCAGCGCGGCCACCGCATCTGGTGCCTGAGGAGGCCTGGGCGCGACACCAGACTGCGAGAATCTGCGACCAAACCGGCCTTTCAGCTTCACCGAGGCGCTCAGCTTGAAATCTCCATGCAGAGCGCGCGGTGCCTCAAGTTCCAGCAAGGTCACAACTTACCCCTGCTCCACGCGTCTCCAACATGAAGGTTTGACCCTTATATAATGCTCAACAAACAACCCCTCAACATATGCTGTTAACCGACTTATTTCCTGGGACCCAAGGTTTACATATGAATGTTTCGAAGCCCATGACAGATTCGAGTGGGGGCTATCTGAAGACGAACCCAAAACTCAATTGTTTATCGCATGAATCACCACATTCCCAATTACTTAAGAGTATGTAAAATCAAGAATCAGATGCTTTGGGGCTTACCGCAATTTCACAACCACCCAAATTAAATCACGTGCTAACAATTTCCTGGGCTGCACGGACCGCAACTTTAGCAAATAACCCGTGCCTGGAACATATTAAATCGTGGATCCGAACGTTTCCAGCTCATTTTATGTGTTGGCGAAGCTGAACCTATGTCATGTGTTTGCACCCTTTCGCATGGACAAATGTATTTTCATTTTGGGCGCGCGTTGACACAAAATTCTTGAATTTGTCCCATAATTTCCTATCTATGGATGGTTGGCCTGGTGATGCGACTTTTCCTCTGTGGGGCCAACCTTTGAAGATCATCCGCATGTATTCAGCCAAAAAAAGGTCCAGCCCCTTGGATTTTATTTTTGACACCTGCGCCTCGGCCTCTTCAAGTCACCTTTTTGGTTGGTGAAGCTGAACATATGTGGTTGTAGACTTTTTCAAGGACAAATGTATGTTCAGCAAAAAACCAGTGTTTTGGGCGTGCGTTGGCACACAATTATTGAATTTTTGTCCCATCATTTCCTATCTATGGGTGGTTGGCCTGGTGATGCGACTTTTTTCCTGTGGGGCCAACCTTTGAAGATCATCCGCATGTATTCAGCCAAAAAAGGTCCAGCCCCTTGGAATTTATTTTTGACACCTGCGCCTCGGCCTCTTCAAGTCACCTTTTTTGGTTGGTGAAGCTGAACATATGTGGTTGCAGCCTTTTGCTAGGACAAATGTATTTTCAGCAAAAAACATTTGTTTTGCATTTTGGGCGCGCGTTCAGGACAAATGTACCCCTTTGCAAGGACAAATGTATCTTTGGAATTTGTTCCTGATGTCTAACCTACGCACATTCAGCAATATAATCATTATAGCACCATTTTCACAGATTTAAATCCTGGTTCCCAACCTTTTAGAATCATGTAAAGAACCATACCCCTTCAAATAATCATGGAGCATTTTTTTCCTGGGGTTTGGCGTACATATATGTTCTAGTGAACTCCCCCCCCATGAACATTACTTTCCTGTGGCCGGACGTTTGAAAAATAATCTTGAAATATTTTGACATATTTTGAACCCAAATTGTTTTCCTGGGTTCGAAGGGACGCATGGGTTAGCATGTGCAAATCGGTGATTTCAAGATTATTAATTTTGATAGTGGACTCCCAGGAAAATAATCTGCATCACCAGATGGGGATTTTTTTGTACTCAAATCAGTTACCCTCTGGATTTATCTGCCACTCAATCCAGTCAGAAAATAATTGAACTCAATGGGCCATTGATATGCGTAAAATATCATTTGTCACTCCAAAAAAACATCCAAAAACCATGAGAAAAAGTCAGCAAAACGCCTAAATGCTAAGCCACTAAGCACCTAAAAACCCTAAGACCCGAAGTCAAAAAAAAAACCTAAGACCAACTGCTCCTCCCAGGCACCAGCTCCTGGTGATGCTTCGCCACATTGCGCTCCGCCAGTTGGACCAGTTCCTCGATATGCTCCAGGGCTAAGACGTGGCCTCGGCCCTCCACCAGCCGAGCCAACCTGGGCCAGTTTTGGGCCAGTTTTGGGTCGAAAAAATGGAGGATTTGACCATGAAGCATGGGGATTTCATCGATTTTAATGGGATTGAATCGGGATATAATGGGATATATAACCAACATATGTCTGGTTGGTGGTTGAGCCCTACCCCTCTGAAAAATATGAGTCAGTTGGGATAATTATTCCATTCCCAATATATGGAAAGTCAGAAAAGTCATGTTCCAAACCACCAACCAGATATATGATTCGGTTCTGTCTGAGAATGATAGGATGTATAGCCCAAAATTAATTTGGCATCCGAATAGGGAAAATGATGATAATCCATTGGATTTGGAGGTACCTTGCGTTCACACGATGCTTGTTGGATATGTCACACCCTTATTGTTGATATGTGGCGTGGTCAAGCTAGATGAGATAAATGGTAGCCCCCATTTAATCCATCCAAAAGCAAGAAAAAACAGCATAATGGGAATAAAAAACCCTATGGATGGATTGATGACCATCCCCCAAGCACTGGGTAATTCTGCATTCCAACTCTTGACCATGTTATCCAAGGAATGACCGATGGTGATAGGTACCAATATCATGGACCCCAAGTTCTCATCCAAGCTATTGGTCTCGAGTCTTGGAAGGCTTTCCCAGATCTGTTTGTGCAAGAAGCAGTGAGAGCTACCGTGCCGATTTTGGCTTGGAGGGGGTTCCTTTGAAAGGGTTATGCAGTTATACAATGATGTGCACCACTATATAAAAATAGCGGGATACGGCCAAACGGCCCAATCGATCCATTAAAAGAAATGCCATGGTTCATTTTGCCACTCACCTTTGACTTGGATTTGCTTAAGGGGCCCCTCAGAAAGAAAAAAAAGTAGATTAGTTAAGTAGTGGACTTCCCTTTGGGAAAATAATCCAAATCTTCGGCTCGATGTGATAATTAAGCACATAAGTGGATTTATAAGTGAATGACCCTATATTATGGAATAAGCAACCTATATATTATGGAATTTCCCTATATTTATAGTGAATGAAGGGAATCTACTTCAGATTTCCAACCAGCTACTCCCTTTGGCTCGCCAGGACACAAGGTGGCCATGCAACCGCTACCGCTCCCAAGGTCCAAGACACGAAGGTGCCTTGGAGCCGGGGCACCGGCCCCAAGTGGAGGGGTGACCTGGTAACCTATGGATAGAGAGGATCTACTGAGGATGACTAAAGTGATCAAGGTATGACTAGAGGAGGTAATTTTGGATCGAAAAAATATGTTACCACCTGGTTATTTAACATAGCCATGGAAAATCACCATTTTAATAAGTAAACCATCTACAAATGGGCCATTTCCCATGGCTATGTTAAATAACCAGAGGGTAAGCATGACCTTGACTCGCCTGACTACTTCGAGCACGATCACTTCGAACGCCAGCCGAGGGCTGGGCGACACGGAGCTCAGGCTCGATGCTTTTTCCTGAAACACGTGCGGCATCCTACGGCATTGTCGCATCGTCGCAGACATCAGGCAATCGACTGGAAAATCACTCGGTTTGTTTGCCCATGGACCCATGGAGTTTCCCTTGACAGAAAAAAAAGTGGTGCAAAAACACCCCAAAAAAAATGTGAGCAAAACATAATTATGTGAGCTTCCCACCTTGACTATGAGTCAAAACCCTGGTGCTTTGCCCCAAAATCGTTGGGATCTATGGATGTTCATCCCCCTTGGGGGAAAATCATAGGAAAATCATAGGGTGTAACCCATCCCCCTCGCCCCGAAAGCCTCTGATTTCAGCGCTCCTGTATCAGCTCCAAGGCCGCACAGTGCACATGAGGAGCAGACACCTGCATGGCATGGCCAACCTGCGGGTTTTTGTCATGGTATATCCTCATTATATCCTCGATATATGGCTGTCAGCATTAATGGTATCCTCCAGTTTTTTTTACACCAAGAGATACGGACACTCCATGAAAATTCGCCATGAATGTAGATAATCTCCTAGGGACACCCTGTAGAGAATTTCCATAGCTATATGTTAGTTGACTGGAGGCTACTCTGATGTACTCTGCCAAAAATCCATTCAAGGTTGAACAAGATCAAGGCGTCACATCTCAACCGTCAATCTTTGATCATGTTTGATGATATTCAACTTTGGGGACTTGCAAAGATCAAACCATTTGGAGCTATCAAACTCAAACATCAGTCAACATCAACCAACATAATCATGACATGGGTTTGTCTCAAAATAGGGGAAATACCTCAGAAATTGATGGCCGTATTTTTTTTCGGTATCCCCCGGTTTCAGGCGGACCCATCGCCCGTATTTGTTGGTTATATCCCAATAAAATCGCGTTAGATCCATTTTTTTGGGTTGGTGAACATCCCGTGAAATCCCATTCTTTCTTGCTTAAACCGCGATTTTTCACCATGTTTCATCCGTGTTCACCATTTACCCTCTGGTTATTAACATAGCCATGGAAAATAACCCATTTATAGATGATTTTCCCATTAAAAACTCCATTTATAAGGGATTTTCCATGGCTATGTTAAATAACCAGATGGTAAGCACCATATTTTCAGCATTTTTCATCACCAGATCATCCCAAGATCGTGCCTGTGCCCCGAAGCCCATGACAACTGCAGCATCCTGGTAAGGCTCCGCATCGCCTGTGGGGTTTACCAACAGAGTCCCATGAAAATAGATGGCAAATCGATAAAACACCTGATTATCTATAGATATATAAAAATATACAGATATATACAGGCCTATATAACTGTATGTATACATATATATATATATATATATTGCATCCCACAGAAGCATCTTGCTACCAAGGTTGTTTGGAAATATCCACGTCATATACTGTATATATAATATGTGTATATATATCCGCCGACCCCGGCCTTGGCCAAGGCAGGGGCGGCGCCTGGGACCACCGCAGGTGTGGAACTTCTCCTTCTTCGCTTTCCAAGGTCAAACCCATCTCGCAGCCAGCAAGCTGCCCCAAGGCTCCTTCTTCGCTTTCCAAGGTCAAACCCATCTCGCAGCCAGCAAGCTGCCCCAAGGCCACATCGCGTAAACATTTTCCAAACCTTAAAACGCTGACTTGGCATGCTTCATCCTGCAGCCAACAGCCACCCCGAGGCCACACATCAATG